GAGGCCCTCTCGAGGGCTCGGTGCTGCTGTGGGCGCGGGGCAGTGGGCCACGCCACCGCCGCGGCCTCGTCGTGTTGCGTGGCGGTTAAATAAGATCCGCCTCACCGGCGGCGACACCGAGGAGAGGAGGCCCGCCGCGATGGTCGCGTCAAGGAAAACACTTTTTGAGAGGCGCTCGTGCCGCGCGATTCCGTCGTGGCGATTGCCGCCGCGCTGCGCGTCTCTTTGTTGGGATGGTGCTGGTTAGCAAAGATCATCCGTGCGGAACATCATCTATTTATAGCGCGCCACCGAAGCAGCAGCGGCAGGTGTTTCACTACTTCTGTCTGTTCGACTGATGCTTAAAGCGAACCGGTTGTACAGAGTCACGCTACTTTACACTTAACGGCTGGCACTCCTCCTACGAGTACAACTGTGTGACGTTCCGATATATATTTTCGAGTGCATGACTGGCGACTGGCCCCCGCTTACGGCTCTCCAGTCGTCCCGCTGCAGAGGTTGACCCGCCCGCCGGGACGACTGGAGTGGGCTGGAGGGCCCCATCAAGTCGGGCGCGCACCGTGCCCGCTGGCATAGATATGGCCCTCCGCGGCGTGCGAGGCGAGGCAGGGGCGGGGGAGGCGCCGTGGCGACACGGCCGCCGGGAAGGAGGCCGGCGCAGCCGCTGCGGAGGAGCAACTCGCGTCCGACGACGAGATGTGCGCCGCATATATACAGTACAGGCCTGAGTATTAGTTGTGATTGATTTTCGCTCCAAATTACTATGCCAGTCCTCGTTGCGGGGCTCTCGCCGCGCCATCGTGCGCCGTGCTCGATGAGCCGGTCACGAGCGCCACGAGCGGCCCCGCGCCCCGCGCGAGCACCCCGACGAGCGCTGCACGCAGGACCAGCCGCCTCCGCCGCGGGAGCACCGCGGAGATGAGTGGGTCGAGCCCGGCTTGCTCCACGGTGCTCCGCGCGGCTGCGTGTGTGGCGCGGCGGGCGTGGGGAAAGCCTCAGCCTCCTCCGACCGCCTCGCCTACACTGTCACGGACAAGAGCGCGCCCGTGGCGCTAATGGTGGCCCGGCGGTCCCGGCAGCGCAACGGCGGTGTCCTGTCGAAGCGCCAGGCTGACGGCAAGCCGCTGTCCTGTCCGCCCACATGCGGCCGGCACCGCGTCGAAGACGACTCGCACTTTGAATGGCGTGGCAGCGCCGGGGGAGGGGGGGGGGGTTGTGTTGTTCCCGTCTCATGGACGACGCATTGCTCTGTTGCTCGGCGGGATGGGCGCGCTGCTCGCGCTCACGTGCGTGGCGGGTACGTGCCCCATCGCCGGCAGTGCCCCGCCACCGCCACGCTCGGCGGCGGCCGCGGCCATAGCGCCGTGTGCCAAGTACAGTTAGCAGGAGGCGCAACGTCTCTTATCGCCCATACTATCGATATAATGACCCGCCAGAGTGCCCGAGTGGTCCGCCTCGGCCAGCGCGCTGGCCGCCGAGCAGCTAGCGCCCCCGCCTTAGCCCCCGCCGTCCTGCCCAGGGCCGCGCCGGGGCAGAGACGTGGCCCCGGGGACACGGGGACGAGCTAACAGACGGCTCGGCCGTGTCGGCCGTGTCACAGTTAGAGATACTTTAAGGATTTTAGTCTCTCTAGTCACTGCACGCCGCCCGGAACCTCCATGCTGCCCGTCCCGTCCCCTCGCGACCGGAAGGGGCAGCTGTCCGTAACGCGAGGTGCAAGGTCGCGGAGGGGGGGGGGGGCGTCGGCGTGGACGGTGGACGACGTGGCCACTGCCCTGTGGTGGCAGCCCCGGCCCTGGTCCACAATCCCACACCACAAAGGTGACGCGGACGCGATGCGACGGCGCAGAACACAACACAAAAAATAACCCTGCTGCGAAGTTCGCCCGGACCGTCCCCCCCGCGGCATCCGTCATCCGTCATCCGGTATACCGACCTCTAGAAATGGAAAGAAACTCGCGCGGGCCGAGCCGGGCAGGGCCGGGCCAACCCGGAGAAAGGAGCAGGCGAGTCACTCTTTCAATAAGCGACGATCCCGAGCTGAAAAACGCAGCCGGCCGCGCCGCCGCCACCTTTCTGTCTCTGCGTCGGTGGCCCTTTTTTAAAAAATTTTTGCTCGCTCCCGCACTTCTTGTCGTTTCCCGTCCTTCCCGCTCGGGCGACGCTTCTGTCCGGTGCGGCCAAAGTGTTTCGGCGGGGCGCCTGCAGCGCTCAGGGTAGGCAGCCGAGCCAGACACGTGCGCGCGCTCAGGCGCCGAGTTGCCTACCTCGCAGGCGCCCTGCTCATCTGCGCCGGCCTAGGCTTACTTGACCAGCAGCCCCAGCCGAGAGGCTCCAGCTGAGAGGCTCCAGCCGAAGCCCTAGCCGAGGTCCCAGCCGTGGTCCCAGCCGAGGTCCCAGCCGAGGTCCCAGCGGAGGCTCCAAGCAGAGGTCCAGCCGAGGCCCCAGCCGAGGTTTCAGCCAGAGGCTCCAGCCGAGGCTCCAGCAGAGGCTCCACCCGAGGCTCCAGCCGAGCCTCCAGCCGAGCCTCCAGCCTCCCCGGTGGGCTAAGCGAGGACGCGATTAAGGATGCTGTAGCGGGCGGAGCCATCACGTGACGCAACTCCAGGACACAGGCGTGGTGGGCCCCGCGGCGCTACGCTCACCCCGCCCCGCCCTGCCCCTTGCTTCCCGGCCGGACTCCTGCAGTCCAGTAGCAACACGATTTGGCCTGGTTGGCACCGCTGTTGCCGCAGCCGCGCCGCCACCGCCGCGGGGGGCAAAGTTCGAGTGAAACTTTAGTGAGATCCTGCGGGCCGGCCTGGCCAGAGCCCAGAGGGGCCAGGCCCGCCAGGCCAGGGCAGCGGCCGCGCCGGGCTGCGCGTCCCTTTGGGATGAAACAAAGCGGTGATGTGTGGCTCGGCGGTGGAGGGCCGTTGCACAAGTCCGGTGGGGCGCAGCGCGCAGCGGAGGATGGCTACTGCACGCCGACTCTCCCCACCCCGCCACGCCACGCCCCGAGTGCTCCGCTTCTTGTTACGCCCCGTATTTTGGCAACGCCGAGCGCTGCTATAGTAATGAATTGATTGGCGTTGCCTGGTCGCAGCACCCTCCTTTTTGTTTCGCGGCAACCTTTTGCGCAACGCACTGTGAAAATAAATTAGCAGGGAGCTGCAGCTGCCCGCCGGCGGCGTCCCGTCCGTCATTATTTTCGCTTCGATATCGGGGCGTGGCGGGGCGTGGCGGGCGCGGTCCAGGGTGGGGTGGGGCGGGTTGTTTAGTGCCCCGCGCGCCCCTTGCCAGCACGGCGCCCGTTCACCCGCGGGCCGCCCGAGTGCACGCTGCTGAGCCTGAGCCGTGACGCCTGTTTTCGGCGCCGCCGCCGCGTCAGAACTGCGGCGGTCTAGAAGAGTAGTCTGCCCTCTCTGCAAATGACTGGTAATTATTTCCAAACTCCAGTCAGGTGTTTCGAGACAATCTCTTCTGCCCGTCGCGCCGCGCCGCACCGCGCCCGAGCTCCGAGGGGCAATACTCTGTGATTGGTAGAACAATGTGTCCGAGACGACAGGCGGCGGGGCGGGGCGGCTAGGCTCGAGCCCGGTTCCTAATTGCTCTGCAGTGGGAGGCCGTTAGCGAGGCTGCTGAGGCTGCGGCTTTGCCTTTGCCGGAGGCCCGAGCTGTATCCCCGACCCGAGCCTGAGCCCCGGCGGCAGTGTAAAGCACCCGCACCGCATCCCGTTAAAAAGTAATAACACCGGGCGGATGAGTTGGAGACAGGGGGGTGCGCGGCGGGTGTGAAGTGCGCCGCTCGCCGCCCTCTTGTACGCTTTCACGCCGACACCTTTCGAACGTCGTAAAGTAAAGTGACGGATCCGATCGCGATGTGAACCGGGGCCACCACCACGGCTGTGGCCCAACGTGCCGCGTGGCCCGTATGGGTCCATGACCCTCCCTCGGATGCCGCCGCTGAATTCGCAGTTACGTGTCCGCTGTGGGGCGGGAAGGGAAGGGGTGAGGGGTCTGACCTGAAGACGGAGCCCCCCCCCCCCCCCTCCGGACGGCGGGGCGCTGAACGCCGCACCAGGGGGCCCAGGCGTAACCGCGGCGCCCTCGCGCAGAAACACCTTCCCCGACACGACCCCCGACGCGGCGGAAACTGTCTTGTCCGACGTGGTCACTTGTCGCTGCTAGGCCCGGAGTCCCTGCGGTAGGGTCCCTATTGCCCCGTGGCGGCGGCTGGCGGGGCGGCGTGGCCCTAGCAGGTCCCATGAGCGCGCGGTCTGGCTTTTGCCTCTTGACCTTTTCGCCGGGCGGCGGGCCGGGCTGAGGCAACAGGCTGTGCCGTACCTGCTGTTGTATCACTGGCCCGCGCCCTCTGCGCCCGCGCGGGCCCGGGGCCCTCGCACCGAGCCTCGCACCGAACGAGCCGCGCGCCGTGTGTCACTTGGCGTTACCCGGCCCCCCGCCTGACGAGTCTGTCCGCCTTCGGGCTGTTTGCGGGGAGAAGCAGCACGCGGGCTCGGCGACCTTATGCCGAGCCCATGAGTTGGTTGTGTTAGGCACTTCCATTGGGAAACTGGGTTAATGTGCGAACAATGCGCGGGGTGGGTTGTATGTGTGTTCTGTTTCCGTGTCCTTTCCTCCAAGCGCACGCACACTTCAGCACACCACAACTCCACGGACATCAAAATTATGTATAGCCGCGTATATGACTGGTTGTCGTTTTGACACCGAAGAGGGAGTCATGACCAATGACCTAACGTTGATTCCGCCGACCTCTGTAGTAACACTCTTGCCGTCTGTTTGCAGTCGTGGACCTGGCGCGCGCTGAGGAGGACCTGCTGCTCTACGGCCTGTGGGTGGCCACCATCTGCTCGCTGGGCGGCGCCCTGCTGTTCTGCGCGCTGGCGGGCGTCTTCGCCGTCATCAACACGGCCACCACACCCATCGGGGCGCTGACGGGCGTGCCAGGGCTCTACCTGTGGAACACCCTGGCCAGTAAGTATACGACTCCGGCGGCGGGAGGCTGCAGTAGATAGGCACTCCCGGGCCACTCCTCTGCTGCGCGGGCGTGCCCACTTGCCGGGCGCTCGCCGGCGCGCCGTTGCTGCCGCTGCCTGCTACTCACCGGCGACACCACCCCGTCCCGTCCTGACACTTGTCTCCTCTCCCTTTCTTGCAGTGCTGCTGGACCTCGGCGCCGTCGGTCTCTGGGCCGTGCAGTTTCACCAGAAGCTGCAGTTCAACGTCATGACGCGCGAGGACAGGGAGAACTACTGGATCTCCACCAACATGGCCACCTTCGGCGCGTCCTTCTGGTCAGTCGCCCCTCTCCCCTTCCTCCGCTCCTCTGGCACCAAAGCTGGCCGTGCCGTCCGATTCCAGCAGTTTCCCTCACGCACATCCCCATTCTCCTCGGTTGCAGGTTCGTGGTCGGTGCGGCAGTCGTCCACGTCCTCAACATGACGGCCATTTTCTTCGGGACGCGGGAGCCCCGGGAGAAAACGGCGCCCGCACCCATGCTCGAGGAGAAGGGCAACGGGGCCATCATGCTGTACTAGCGCCCCGCTCGCGCTGCCGAGCACCTTCCCAGGCGCCCGCGGCAGGGCCTGCCATCGCGTGGGCGCCGCTCTGCTCACCAGTATACGAAACGTTTCTATTTCTTGGCAGTTTGTGGTGCATTGACTGCTCGACCACTACCCTCCTGCCAGTGCAATATGAACTCTCAGCGGAGTGATACAGTGTAGTGCGTCGCAAAGTATGTGTGGACCTCCTACAACTACCCCTCACGGGGGTTGGTCTCGTCCCGACCAGCCTGTGAAGTGTGAACTGTGAACTGACAGAGAATCCTGAGTCGAGAAGTACACAAACCTTACAAAAGTAATAACAAGGCACAGATCTCTTACCGTAAGCGTTCGTGTTTGTTTAGATGTAGTAAGATCGAAATTGCGCTGTTATCAAGTGCTGCTGTATCCCCGTCACCACGGACGGAATGGGGTGATTGCACCCAACACAGCGTTCACTCTTCCTTCGGTGCATTCTTATGATTATTATTATTTTTGCTCAAGAGAAAACCAAAACTAACGAAATTGCAATTAATTTCTTTAGATCAACCCATTTTGAGGGATACCATTTCGGCATTTCATTTTTGATAATCAGTTTAATTAAATGTATTTCTTTGTATTTATATTTTAAGTTAAGGATACTTTACAATCTAAGTTTAAGTTGCACTTATGTGACACTCTGTGCACGTGGCATATATTTTGTTTGCCTAAGAAAGTGCTCTAACCCTACCCTTGCATCTACCTGTCCTCAAACTACAATCCTAAGTAAAACAAGGTCACTGCATGAGGTTGCGAGATAAGGCATCAGAAGCTCCTAAGTGATAAACCAAGTCAAGACTTAGAAGCTCCTTGTGTCATTCCCTCTCCTGGTTTAATGTATGTACCCTGGCACTTCGACTTGTCACCTCAAGTTTTACAAAATATGTTGTCTTTTGTAAACATTCCCTGTGTTTCAGCCATGCCGGGATCTTGATTAGTGTAAGCAAGCATCAGAGTATAGAATTGTAAATACCATGTGCCATTTTCCACCTCTGTTGCAGTCCGTAAATACATTAAACGGGGTTGGTGCAAGACTGATACTGTTGTCGTAGTAATAACTGTTCTTAATATAAATGTGAAGCTAAAGCTAATATTATGTAAATGCGCAAAAGCTGTTTAACACCTTGTTGCAAAACAGATATGTCGGATAATGATTACAATGTGATTACAAATAAAATCAACTGCATAAAGTGTTGCTATAATTGTATCTACCTTCCATACATCCTAAATGCAGTGTACGAGGGGAGATACTTCAATAATAGAGATAAAAATCTTGTTTACAAGACCTCTACTTATTTATTTAATACAAATCCAAGAGGCGCAAGGTCTTCATTACAACTATATAAATCCACTTCAATTACCACCAAACATTATCTCAGAAAAAAATCCCATATTAAAAATATCTTTGCAGTTAGTGCTTTGTAGTGTTTGGTTACATCCTGTCCAAAAGAATAAATGTAAGAGGCTGAAATGTATGAACAATACAACAGGAAATAGAAGCATAAAGTAATGAATCATAACAAATACATTGCCAATAAGGTCACAAGATAAGGTTGCAAATTACATACTTAAGACAAGATAAAGATACTCTCACAGACAAGTTGTTTATGCAATAAGGAAAGTGACGGATTGGTGAAATGTCCTATACAGTAGGTTTTGATAGACAGAGTTGATGAAATGCAGAAATGCTTTCAAATGGAGAGGAATCAACTTAACAATCAGTACAATTGGGGCATCAGAGGTATAAATTGCTCAGTTAGTCCTTACAGGCTCGCAATACAATGTATAATTTTTTCAGTGAATGGAAATGTGCATGCCAATGGAATGAGTACACAATGCAGTGCTTACCATGGGTAAAATAGGGCAACCGAAATCAATTGGTTCCACACTTCTGATACAGCAATTGATTGCAACAGGAAAATCAATACAGGGCAACCACAATTCTCAAAACTAGAACTTCAGTCAGAAAACCAACAAAAAGCAATAGCAAGGAAGCCAGAGATTTTTCTCAAAAAACAGCATGCAATTCCAATATCGACCAGTGATGTACGGCATCCCTGATGGTAAATTTCATTTCAATATCCATGCTGATTCTCAGAGTCAATCTGAGATTTTCTTCTTTGTCCTTGCTCCCAGTCTTCACTCCTCTTTGCTGGGGGCATCGGCGGGAGCGGGAGCGGCGGCCTCCTTCCGCCACGCGCCGGCCTCCCTGGGCCTGTCATCCCTCCGGTCGTCGCGGCGGTCGTCCCTCCTCATGTCCCTCCTAGGTCCTCCACGGCGGTCATCGTCGTCCTCGCCACCGGGGGCGGGCCCGCGCCTCCAGCTGCCCATATCAGCAGCGGGCCGGTCGCGGCCGAAGCGGTCACCTCCACGGTCGAAGCCGCGGCCACCATCACGGTCATAGCCTCCACGGCCACCCTCGCGATCGCGGTCGAAACCTCGTCCACCATCACGGTCGCGGTCGAAACCTCCCCGACCACTATCACGGTCGCGGTCGAAACCTCCACGGCCACCCTCGCGGTCACGGTCGAAGCCGCGGGGTCCATCACGGTCGAAGCCGCCTCGGCCGCCGCGCTCGACGCGCTCGCCTCCCTCGCGATCACGGTCGCCACCCTCGCGAGGCGCTGCGTCGCGAGCTCCTGCTTCGCGCTCGGCGGCCTCCTTTGTCCTCCAGTCACCACCCTCCCTGAGTCGGGCTGCAAAGGAACAAAGTCATTAGTCAAAACGCCAATCCATAGGGAACCAGCAAGCCTGAGGGGGTTAAGACAAGCCCCAGCCTCTTGTTCAGGAGCAGTACTCACTCGGTCTCCAGGCTCCTCCAGCACCGCCTCCAGCGCCACCCTCCTTGGCAGAGTCTCCCCGGCGCCAAGTGTCGTCGCCTCGCCTGTCATCTGGTCTGCGGTCATCCCCGTCTCTGTCGCCTCCACTGCAAAGAGAAAACGGAGAACTATTACTGCGACTGTCATCGCCAAGCAAACGCCCTAGACAGAAATACAACATGCCAAACACTCACCGACGCCAAGTCGATGCAGCCGGTGTGGCCGATGGTGCAGCCTTCTCGGCCTCTCTTGATCGCCTCTCGATCTCCTCCATACGCTCTTGCTGGATCTTGGCCTGGCGGTCGAGGGCTTCCTGGCGCTTCTTGTTCTCCTCTTCCCTCTCTTCCCGCTCCTTCCTCTCCCGCTCCTCCCGTTCCTCGCGCTCCTTCCTCTCCTTCTCCTCCCGCTCCTCTCGCTCTTTCCTCTCCTTCTCTTCCCTTTCCTCCTGCTCCTTGCGCTCCTGTTCTTCGCGCTTTTGGCGGTGGTACTTCTCCCGGCGCTCAGTCTTGCGCTTAGCTTTCCTATCGGCCAACCTCTCGGCACGCTTGGCCTCGAGAAGTACATTGTAAGCAGCCATTTTATCCTCATAGGTAGAGTTCCTCTCGTTCATCAGTTGAGACAGGAACTCTTCCTTGTCGTCGTACATCCGGGCGAGACGTTCGCGGTTCTGCACAGCGAGTTCACGCTCTTCCACCAGTTTTGCTATGCGTTCTTTCTCTTGTTGCTCCCAGAACGCGCGATCCTTGATCTGTAATCGAGGACAAGTTCAGGATAATTGTTAACAGATAATAGTGAATTACATATCAGGCGTACATACACAAAGATACACGTTAATGAAGAGAGCAGGGGCAAGTGGAAGTAATTACCTGGTTTTCCTCAAATGATTTGTTGAGTAAAGGTATTTCCTCAATACGAGTGGCACGAATGAAGTAATCCATTTTCTTTTCTTGGGATTTCAACTTTTGCATCATATCCCTACGTTCCTTTTGCAATTCTTCCATTTCACGAGCTGTGATTTGTTCAGCATCCATATTTTGAAGAGCCTGGGAAATAGATAACATTATGTTAAAGGTAACAATACTAAAATCTGCACTCTGATAGAATATACAACTTTATAAACTTACATCCTCATCAAGTTTCTTGAGAATTTTCTGTCCATGAGCTGTCTGAGAAATTTGCTGCATTTTCTCTTTAAGGTGGCGATCTTTGATTTGCTGAATTTCATTCTCTTGGCGTTTCCTTTCCCGCTCTTCCAGCTCCATAGCTAGCCTCTTCTGTTCCTGGGCCATTTGCATGCGGGCAAGCTCATCTTGTCTTCGAGCAGCTTCCTCTTCTCTAAGAATGTTAATTCGTTCAAGGTACTCCTTGCGGTCTTCAATAATCTTGTGGCGTTTCAAGATCTGAGCATGTTCCTCCACCTTAGTTGCATGGTAACGCTCAACCATCTTGTGGCGCAGGACTTCACGTTCCACCTTCTTTTTGGCGGGGTTAATACAGTTGATGGATCGTGAGAGCACACAAGCCATATTTATCAACTGGTTACGGACTTGCTCACTGGGCATACTCTGAAGGGTTGGACCTTCAGGGTGATCCTCTCTCTGACTTTCAGCCAAGTCCATACCGAAGTGAATACACTCAGCTCCATGGTCAATTCGGATTTGCATATCATTGTGACGAACACAGTCAACAAGGAGGCGTTCCAAGTGCATAGTGTCAGTGAAGCGAGCCAACTCCAGGAGACGAGCAATCTTTACAGTCTGGTATACCTGAGACACTTGACGGATCAAGCGCACAAGAGTGACATCTTGGAGAGCTGGAGTATACTGTACTAGCTGAGAATTTTCCTCAGCCTGCAGACTCTCTACAACACTTTGAACGCGAGAACAGAGATTAAGTGGGTCGAATTCTACCTCCAACCAGCTGTACAGATCTTGAAGTTGGGGAGCAGCTAGACCAACCACATTAACTCTCACCTAAAAAGAGCAGAAGAAATCAACTTCAAGTCACACACTTCATGAGTAGAAAGCAAGGTCTAGTTGTACAAAACTTACAATGTCCTTCAGCAAGGAGGCACGGGTAGGAGGCTGCGGAAGACCCAACAAAGTAGCAAGTCGCTGTGCTTTCTCTAGGGGGCTTTTGTCAGTCTCAATGAATCGGTCAAATTCAGGATGAGCAGATGGTAAGGGAATAGACAGAGTTGCAAGAAGCACTCGACAAGCCATTCTGAATAATAGATAATTAAATAAAAGTTAATACTTAAGGTCAGGCACAAGAAAACACCCTTTCAGAAATCCAGAAAGCAAATGTGATATACCTTTGCAGTTCCTCAGGGGTAATATTCTTCTTCATTTCCTTAGATAATTGGAAAAGCTTGAAGAGTGCAGCAGCATGGAAGAGGCAATTGTTGGCTTTCCAGAAAACAAGAGCCAATTTCTGATAATAATTAGCCATAGTTTTAGGAACAGGTGACTTTTTGGACATGTTCATAAGTCCATGGATGTCTTCAGTGGCCTTGTAAGCTTCCTACAGGTTAAACCAGAAAATTAAAATAACAGCAAAACTGAAAAAAGAAAACAAAAGAAAACTGGCATGCAGAAATATTAACACAACATACCTGCCAGAGTTCCATGTGAATAGCCGAATCAAGCTGGACAAGCCTTGTTTCAAGGTTGAGCTGCTGAGTCTCAGGCTTGCTAATAGATACATTGGATACTTGTGCTGGAAGCTTGGAAATGTCTTCCAAGTGCTTGCGCAGCTTGTCACAAAGCTTCCTGAATTCTGTCTTCCTGTTGTACTTCAGACAAAAATTAAATGCCATGCGGGCAATATCATGGTACAAAGTTTCAACATGAGCATTTGTACGCAAGAGCTCCAAACACTGGCAGTATGATTCCCAGAGAAATTTGACCCAAGGTGTTAAAATGGTGCGGTCAGAACGATCTTGGGCATCTTCACCACTCACAGCACTAGACACAGAAATAAGAGAAAATAAAGAATTCAGATATTAATTAAACATTTGAGGGCAACACATTTTATATGATACATATAGCAAAATTGAAATTTAATTACCTCAATAGAATACTTTCCGGAGTGGCAATCATTTCAAGGTCTTCTACGTCTATAACTGCCTGTTGAGATTGTTCTCTGGCTGACTCCGTTCTTTCTTCAGCTGTACGTAGATACCCTCGTATGACATTTTCAAGTGACCCCACATTCACCTACATGAGAAAATTGTTTTATTAACACATAATACTTAAGAGGATAATAACATCTTTAAGAAAAGAATTTACTTACAGATTGAAACATATTCCTGTATTGGAAGAGACCCTCCTTTGCAATATGGCTCTTTTTGAGCTCGACACAGAGGTCCAAGTACTTGAACATGATAGGCTCCAGCACAGTTTCGCTCCAGTTGCAAGCCCATTTTTTGTTCTTAAAAACTTCATACAAGGTGTCAAGAGCACGAGCAGGCTTTCCCACCTCGATGAACTCTAAAAATGAAACATGCAAAACAATGGTATAATTTGCAGTGTAGACAGGCAATGGTATAATAAAAACAGAACACAACAAGAAGAGGACTTTCAAAATATTAGACAATTCTAGACATGAAGTAAAATCAAAGTTCATACAATCAGTGGACCATACAGACGTCATTACTATCGGCGCAGTAACAAGAGGTTGGAACGACAGCCTATGCAATCGGATCGTTTCGAGAATCATTCAAGAACAAACAAATCATACAGTGAAAATAATTATGGATTACAAGGGTAACCGGCTGTATTTAAAATGAATTCTTTCTAGGAGAATACCGAAGTCTGAGAGTACTGATGCAAATCATAGGTTAGTCCGACCTTAGGCACATATTGTGAATTAATTACGTACCATTTGCCCTTTTCAGGGCATTTTCAGGACGTTGCCCGTATCGAGCCATGTTGAAGGATCTTGTTGAACTACCACTTCATGAAAACAGCACGACAAAAATATTTTTGTTGCACCACGAAAGCGCTACCCGCTCCCAGATCGGCATGGAGGGGAAGAGAAATGGCTGAGGAATCGCCGGAAACTACGAACTACGATCACTGCCAGAGAAGAAGATCAGGAAGAACTACCCGCTTCCGCATATTTTTAATGGATACCCGCGCTGAGAGCTTGAACAGGTTTGAAGGTGGTGTAGGGGAAATTCTACAGTTCGTCCCTTTCTCAAGATCTCGTCCAACGTTTTACGGTTAATTAGCGTTGTGTAGATACGTAACTGGAAGTTTAGCAATGTAAGTTTTGAAGTGTAGGTGTGGTGGATGGAACTAGAGGACAGAAAGTAACAATAATAATGATGAACGGTTATTTATAATAAATATAATAATCTTAAGTATCTTTTAAATACATACAAGCATACAAAATAAGGCATAAGTTCAAAAAATGAAAACTAGCAATTTTCAGTACAAGGTATTTACAATGGTCCAAACAACATGTTAGAAATCACACTACCTAACATCACAATGACAGATAATTTTTAAAAGAAATGCAGCATGGTTTAAACACCCACATTTTCAACAAATTAATTTTCTGGTTTTATTAGAACCTTACAAAACACATAAAATGTTAGATAGCATCACTTAAAAGCTCAAATAGACCTTTTAACTCCTTCATTTAGTGTATTATAAATTAAACTGACCCAGTCAGGGACTTTTTTGTCCTTCAGATAAGCTTCTTTGGAAAGGGATCGTGTGCTCACTATGTCTGTGGCTCCGTATATTGCCCCTGAAACAAAATTTAAACACATTGAAAAATTAGCTTTTAATGAGTTAGCATAAAGATAAAACCAAACTAGATTGACCTAGACCAATTACCTCCTAGCCATGCTGTGTAATTTTCTTTGGCTGGGGGAGAGTGAAACTTAAAAGTCCTTAGTTTTAATTTTTCAGAGTACTGAGCAGATGCTGCTAAGTAACTCAATTCTTCTTTTATCCTTGCCTTCATCCCTACAGCCATAGAGGTGCCCCCAATAAGGAGTATGTTTTCAGCCAATGGTTTCCTCATATCAATAGGACACTGTATTGATTAAAACAACACAATTTGAACATCAAAAAGTTGTTAATGTAGTGTGTTTAAAATAAGTATAAGTATTGGAAAATACCTTAGTAATAGCATCCAGCATCATCGTTGACACACTGATCTGATCAGCATCCTGCTCAAATAGAATATTGAAAGCGTTTTCCCTAATATCACCGCTAATATTTAACATATTACTGCCAGGGCCAACTAGGTAATTAACACTTGGAGGGCAAGGGCACGGTTTATCTTCTCTTGCCTTTTGAGTTCTCCCTAGGGTTGTGACAAAGCAAGCTCTAACTGCAAGAAAAAGGAAACTAATTACCAGATTGTTTCAAAATAAACCAACACATTACAGTTTAAACAGGGTGGGTGTTCAAAGCAGTGCTTTTATCTGGTTGTACTGTACGTGATGCAGGTGTGTGGACGGGTTGCATACTCGCACGGGACCATAAGGCGCGGTATGCAAGAACGCCGCCAGCATGTGGTACAGTATAACCAGCAAATATAACAGCAACACCCACCCTGATCATATCAGTTTTTTTCACACACAACAAACCTTTGATGTCTTCAATCATTTTTTCAGTTAAATTGGCATAGCCCTCAGATTGATTCGACTTCTCCCTTTCCTGAAGCATGTCACTTATTTGTCTAGAAAAGACATAAACATAAAATTAATGAAATACAATTATTTTTTTATCAATTTTCCTTTTTTAGTTAATAATATGTGGCATACCTCTCAACAGCTTTTGCAGCAAGTGGTTGGGCTTGCCAAGCATGCAGCACAGCAACTCCTTCATAAACAGGAATTACGATTGTTTCAGTTGCCCCCATATCAACTACAAGAGCAGTATTCACGCCAAGAGTGCTCAGAGCAACAACATGGGAGGGAACAAAAAGTAGAGAAGAAATCTGCAACATTAATTAATATATATTGTAAAAAAAATATAATACAACTAGGAAACAATTTTATTAGAAGATGTGTAACTGAAACTCACTTCAAAGTGCATAAAAAACACTTTAGCAAGCATTTCTCGTATTGATGTAGGGCACAAAACTGACTCAACAACCACTACTCTTCGATCCTTAGGACTCACAAGTAAATGTCTAAAAAAGATGATCCAGCTTTACAGAGACATTCAACATATACTTTTCAGAAAAATTTAACTGTGATCAAATTACCTGAAATATAGATTGTGAATGAACTCCACCAGTAGATTATATTGTTCGTCAGCTTTCACAGCATCAAACACTTTCCGTGTACGACCATCTTTGGGGCAGCGCACTTCACTTGGAACAATAGAACGGGGTCCTGCTTCCCCAGCAAACCCCACCCTACAAATGAAGACATACTCCAAATTAGACTGTAAAGAAAATATTACAGCCTCCAGGGCTAACTAGCTAGGACAGATGGTAAAAGCAAAATCAACAGAAATGTCTTACTTCGTATAGCAATCACCAAAGTCAAAGACAACTGCTTGTCTCTCTGTGGAAAGACCCATGCCACTCTCGTAATACGTTTTAATCATTTTGGTTTGTTTTGAAAATCTGGTGATAGAGGTTAGTAAGACGTTCAAGCGATTTACTGTAGAGTGGTGAGAGCTAGCACACAATGCTTTTTTGCCGTGAGAACTGAATATTACTTGTTTTCACTACTGTTGCACTCACTACGATTAAATACAGTTCTATGTCCTTTAAAAGGGACGCCATGAATTATGACAGCGCTGACATTAGGGCGCTTTGGCCACTTCGGCGCTTCTGCCACGGAGTATAAAGGGAATGGAGGGTCGGCTTTGCCCGGTTTCCACCTCAGAAAAGACTACAAAATCCGGTGGTGGTTGGAGTTTCGCCGGGCGGCCACCTAG